TCTTCAAAAAAGGGAAGGAGCCCTGGTTGGGTGGCTAAGTTTGTTGGAGCATTTTCCATGCACCAGAAATGTTGCAGGTCAGGACACATACCTAGGTTGCAGGTTCAGTCCCTGGGGCATGTATGGGAGGCAATCGATCCATGTTTGTCTCTCACATCACATCAATGTCTCTCTCTCTCTCTCTCTCTCTCTCTCTCTCTCTCTCTCTCTCTTTCCTCCATTCCTCCCTCTCTTCCTTCCTTCCTTCCTTTCTCTCCAAAATCAATAAACATATCCTCAGGTGAGGATTTTTAAAAGTTTTTTAAAAGGATGGGATTAAATAGACTCCTAATGTTCTGCTAGCTTCCCCTGAGCATCATATGGTACCAGGAATAAAGCCAGCCTGTTCTGCTACCATTTTCCCTAATTTAAAAAAAAGGCCTGCTATAAAGAAGAGAAGACCGAAGAATATCCTCTGCATAATGGAAATTTTAACTCTGGAGGATAGCCAGAAAAAAATGGAAAGAATAAATTTCACAGTCTATGTATCTGAGAGTGTTCCACATATTTTTGCTTAATGTGCATGAAGATTCCTTTGATATTAGTAATCTGAACTATTCCCCTATTATGGAACCTAAAACCTCCAAAATGTGAAATGCATATTACTATGTGTATGTGTGTATGTATTTATGCATTTTATGTGTGTTTTAGATACTGGATGGTCTTGTTCTTAGATAGTAATAAGCCATTTATCTTTGTTTATTCATATGCCTGAAAAAAGTTCTGCCACATAAAAGTTCTCGATTTTAAAAGTTCAAAAATAGATGAATTGATTAAGAAAGGACGTGACAGCAAGCAATTTCAATGTCATATTTTATAAAATAATGAACTTAGTTCATATTGTAATTTGTTTCTGGAAAAAAAATCACTGATCAGATTTAGAAAATGGATAATAACAAGAGGAGATACTTGACAAAGAATATTTTGCAGTTATGATGAAACATGAAATGAGAGATTATTTTAATCTAGATGAGCCTATAATTTCGAGTATAACTAATCACATCCTGTAAAAAAAAACTGTCTAGATATAAGTCAGCTGGGGGAGGAAGACTAAATATTCTGGGCTAAGCAACATTCAAATATATCTCTACCTTTTCTTCATGGAGAGAGGGTAAAAGCATTTAGGATATTCTAAAATTTAGTTCCCACTGAGATTCTATTTTAACTATCATGTCTTTATGGATGTCTTCCTCATAGTAACATAGAAGGAGGAATTATTAAGTGATTTTGTATTATAGTACTCATCCATAATATGTGGAAATTCTGAGCTTACTTATAGAAAATTAAACATTTGAAGCAAACAGGGAGAAGTTCATTGCTGTATAATTTATTTGATAAAAACTAGTCATAAAAGAAGATGTGGAAGTGTTTGTGATGTGTGCAATTGAGCAGAAAGCTTTGATTCAAATTTAATAATACTTGGATGTTGGGGGAAGTCAGAGTTCAGAGCCTCCCATCAGAGATAAATGCATCTGAAAGTAAGTATATCCTACTTACTTTCATGCCAAGGCAAATGCCTTTCTAACTGTGCCTATTGGAAACCTATGAAGAGTAGCAAAAATGAGAGATAATTTTACAATTTGGAAAATTCTTAGGAAATATCTATTATGTATATGCCTGTGTGTGTGTGTGTGTGTGTGTGTGTGTGTGTGTGTGTGTGTAAAATTGGACTGCTAGGGTTGGAGTGGAGACAGCTGAAGTTCTTAATTTTGTAACGTAAAAATGTCGGAGATCGTATTCTGCCTTTCATTAGAGGAGAATATATAAGTTAAGTGGAAAGGTGATCCCTCTATGTATCAGCATTGGTTTGGCAATTTGAATATAATTTTGAATAAACTTGTCACATATCCTCAAGGATATGACTGAGCAGTAAGAAAGATAAAATTCTGAAGATGAAATTAGAAAATTGTATTTGAAGTGTTATGTAGAGGTATGTGCAGAATGTTGTAGGTGAGGAGGTGAGAAAAATTCTGGGGAAGAGGTTAGGATAATGCTAAGACTCATAGAATAATTCTTTAGCCAAAGAAGGAAGAAAATTTTATTCTAGATGGAGTGAATAGCAAGGACAAGTGAAAATAAAAGCACAGTGACAAGTCAAGACATAAAAAGGGAATTTTTCATCCACTTGATGACCTTCTCCAGAAATTCAGTAGATTGATTACCAGGTGTCTTGGTCACTCTTGGGGCTTCAAACGACAGAAACATTTTTAAAAACATATAGCTACATCCCAAGAAAATCAACTCTTTCCATTTATTTCTATGGATTTTCTAGGAGGGCTTGAAAATTGGTGCTTCCTTCTTCTCTTAGAGAAAATCATTTCCAGTCGGCAAACATTTATAAAGCAACCACCACTAATCATTCTATAATGCATACTGACCTATTTTTCCAATATATATTCATACATTGCCCATTCTCTGCTGAATTCAAAAATAAGACTGGATCCCAACCCCTCATTTGACCTCCTAACTCTTAAGTGCTACATGGGATTATACCCAGCTATCCAGCAGTCATTTCCTCAATGTGGAATCTTCTTACCGTATTCCACCAACCTCCACCAAATACCCACATTCCCATTTCTTGCAACTGATGATCATAAGGAGAAGACATAATATTCACTTTCTTTCTCACCAGGTTAGCCTGTAGTCCCCTGGCCATCCTGCCATCCCTTGCTCAGAAGCTTCGTCATCATAACCCTAAGTCGTATTTTTTGTTTGTTTTTTATTATTGTTGATTTTAAAAACAGGAAGGGAGGGGGGAGAGAGAAACATTAACATAAGAGAGAAGCATTGATTGGCTCCCCACTCGTCCATTCCCCTACCCCACAGGCATCCCATCAGGGATCGAACCACAACCTTAGTATGTGTCCTGAACAGGAATCAAACCCACCACCTTTGGTGTATGGGATGATTCTCCAACCAACTGAGCCACACCACCAGAGCTAGGTCTTATTTTCACAAAAGTCTATCCTTCAGAGTCATGCTTCATGATTCACTTATTCATGAATTTATTATTCAAAGCATTTATTGATTCCCTTTACTATACCTCACACAATTGTGGAGAATAGAGAAAACCAGTCCCTTGCTCTCTTGTTATTCACATCTGTGCACCTGCATACTGGGTCAGAAACAATACCTACATTGATAAAGTATATATTGGTGCATCTCCTTCTATATCGGCTTTTACCCTTTCGTTTTGTGTGTGAGATTATATCCGTTCATAGATATAAGTACATGTAGGTAAAAATGTAGCTTCAGAGCTTATGAGTGTGCATCCTCTCTTCACCTTGTTTTCCTTATTTGCACTTTTTCTCCATACTATTTTGGTGTAAGCATCCATCCTTTTGCTATTTGTACAATCTAACCATATGTTACTTACCTTGGTCCTTAAATATCTAAGAAAACTTCCTCGCATTTTCTTGGGGCCTGTCATTTATTATGCTGAATAGAAGGTATTTATATATATATTTTACAACCACATTCCCCCTGGGATAGTAATTAATAGTATCTTAAAGATACAGTCCCAGAGGACTGTCATTATTTAACCTATCTGGAAGCTCTCAGGAAATTCCTTCTCACAGGATTGTTAACATAAAAACATTCAAACTTGTAAAGAATTTTTGTGAGTTTATTTGAGCCAAACTGTTGACAATTGCCGGGAAGCAGAATCTCAACATATTGGGATAATGCTCTGGAGAATGGCAATTCTTCACCTTGTTTTATACATTTCAATCAAAGAAGGAGACATAAGTGGGTTACATGAAATCCATTGGTGATAGATTAGGGAGGCGGGAGAAAGCAAAACAGGGAAACCTCTGGGATTGGATAAAAAGTGAAAAGATGGACACATGCTTCTTTTACTTAGGCAGGTGCAGGATAGTTCACAGTCAACAATTAACAAGATTACAATAACAATGAAGGAATTTATGGTCCCTGTCCTGGCACCCAGGTGCATTTGGTTGTGCCCTAAGGAGTCCAGAAAAAGGGAAGTTACAAGTCACCAAGACATTTCACAAGGATGTTATCTTAGATGCAAAAAAGACAATAGGCTCACTTAAGGTAAAGATTGACCTTTACCAGGAAAAATACTGGTCTAGGACATGACTACCCACTACCATCCTTTGTGGTTACTTTAGGTCTTTGAGTTTGCAAAACTGCCGTGCAGACCTTCCCTGAGCTAGTCAGGTTAGCATATGGCCTTTCTTTTGTCCAGAGGGTGCATCTTTATTTGACCTGACTCAAACTCACTCACTGTGAATGAATGACCTTTTCCCTGGGCTATTAGTCAAAACAATCCATAGAAATTGTTTAACATTGTAGCTTCTTGAAGCTAACAAGAGACTGACCAAAAAAACTTAAAAGGCGAAATTGAGGAATGAATTGACCACACAGAGTTTTTCCAAGCTCTGAAATATTACTAAACTAGAAAGCTACACTCATGTAAATGACTATGCATGGCTCCAGTGAAGTTCTGAGAAATCCTTAATTTGTCACCTCTGGCTAACCTGAGGCAATAATATTAAAATACAGAATGTGGCTCATTCTGCCAGAAAATATATGGCCAATTAAAAAAGTCATTTCACGTGCACAGTGGGGTTAGTTGTTATGTTGCAGATTGTATATTTTTAAATTTATTTTTTATTGTTTGACAGCATTACAGATGACCCTCATTTCTCTCCCTTTGCCCCCTCCACCCTGCCCCCGCCTCACCCCAGGCTTTCACCACACTGTTGTCTGTGTCCATAGGATATGCATATAAGTTCTGTCTCCTGCAGTTGATTGGGGTCGCCGTCGATTTGCGGGACAGAGTGAGGGTCCCTCTTCGGGGGTCTCTCATTTGGGGGCTCGTCCGGGATTAGACGACCACCCCTCATCCGCAGAGCCGACCTTGGAGGTAAGAAGGGGTACCCCGAGTTGTCCGTCTTTGTCTTGTGGTTGTCAAGCGGTCTGGATTTGAGATTTGAGTGCGCGCTTTCGGTTTGGCAGCCGTTCGGCAGCTCGTGAGAGCGGCCGGACAGTGGTCGGTAGGCGTGCCTGGAGGACCACAGGTTGCAGCCCTGGGGGACGCCCCAAGGGTGGAGGAGAGCCAGGGACGGCTGCTAGTCTCCTATTGTAAGGAAGCTGATCAGGTTCAGCTGTTAGATCAGAAGTTATCCAGACCACGCCCATCTGACTCCGTTACGATTTTGTGGCGGAAAAGGTGGGTAAGGTGGGTCATCGTGTCTGTAACATTTTTGTTATTTGTGTTGTTAACGACGTACGAACTGACGATGGGACAGACGGTGACGACTCCTCTTAGCCTGACCTTGGACCATTGGACTGAAGTGAAGGGAAGAGGTCGCAACCTATCAGTTGAGATCAGGAAGGGACCTTGGCAGACCTTCTGCTCCTCTGAGTGGCCCACTTTCAATGTGGGGTGGCCCAAAGAGGGGACCTTCGACCTGTCTATAATTTTTGCTGTTAAGAGGATTGTTTTTCAGAAAGAACCTGGAGACCATCCGGATCAACAGCCTTACATCGTGGCCTGGAAAGACCTGGTGCAAAACCCACCCTCCTGGGTTCGACCTTGGGTAACAAGGCCCAAGCCCCAGCAGGACGCTCAAGTTCTATCTGTCCAATCTCCCAGTCCCAGGGGGAACTGCGGCAGCCCCCCGGACCCCCCCAAGAAGGTCTATCCTGAGACCCAGGCTGACCTCCTCCTCCTCGACTCACCGCCCCCATATCCTCCTGCCTTAGTCCCGGTCGAGAGTAGGGAGGAGCCTGAGATGTTGCCAGCCCCTGCGGCTGCCCCTCCCGCTCCCACGGCTGAGCCTTTGTTAGGACCGGCGCACAGCACCAGGAGCCGCGACCGCTGGCAGTCCCCCGACACCGGTAGGGAGGAGCCTGAGATGTTACCAGCCCCTGGGCTGCCCCTCCCGCTCCCTCGGCTGAGCCTTTGTTAGGACCGGCACACGGCACCAGGAGCCGCGACCGCTGGCAGTCCCCCGACACCACCGTCGCCCTCCCTCTTAGAGCTTACGGGCCCCTGCCAGTGGCGACGGAGGGAGGGCCGGCTCCTCTTCAGCCCCTCCAATATTGGCCTTTTTCCTCTGCGGACTTGTATAACTGGAAGACTAATCACCCTCCCTTTTCAGAGGACCCTCAGCGCTTAACTGGGCTGGTGGAGTCTTTAATGTTCTCTCACCAGCCCACATGGGATGACTGTCAGCAATTACTGCAGACCCTTTTCACTACCGAGGAGAGGGAAAGGATCCTGTTAGAGGCGAGGAAGAATGTGCCGGGAGCAGATGGACGGCCCACTCAGCTCCCCAACATCGTTGAGGCTGCTTTTCCTCTCTCTCGGCCTGATTGGGATTTCAACACGGCAGAAGGTAGGGAGCGACTGCCGTCTATCGCCAGACTCTAGTGGCCGGCCTCAGAGGGGCAGCGAGACGCCCCACCAATTTGGCTAAGGTAAGAGAGGTCACCCAGGGGGCCACGGAACCCCCGTCGGTATTTCTTGAGCGCTTAATGGAAGCTTTCAGATGTTACACCCCGTTCGACCCCACCTCAGAGGGGCAGAGGGCTTCCGTGGCCATGGCTTTTATAGGACAGTCAGCATTAGATATAAAGAGGAAATTGCAGAGAATAGAAGGGTTACAGGATTGTACCCTACAGGATTTAGTCAAGGAGGCGGAGAAAGTGTATCATAAGAGGGAGAATGAGGAAGAGAAGGAGCAAAGGAAAGAGAAGGAGAGAGAAGAGAGGGAGAATGAGAGAGATCGTAAGCGGGAGAAAAACCTGACATGGATTTTGGCCACTGTAGTAAACGAGAAAGGACAGGAGCAAACCCAGAGTAGGGCTAAAAGATCAGGTAACCTGGGCAACCGCACCCCATTAGATGACGATCAGTGTGCATACTGCAAGGAAAAAGGTCACTGGGCTAGGGAGTGCCCTAAACTAAAGAAGAAGAAGAACGGCCCCTCCAAGAAAGTGCTAGCTCTGGAGGACGACGATTAGCGGGGACGGGGCTCGGAACCCCTCCCCGAACCTAGGGTAACACTAGAAGTGGAGGGGAGGCCAGTTGAGTTCCTAGTAGACACAGGGGCCCAACACTCGGTCCTACTCGAACCGGCTGGACCTGTCTCCCACAAGAAATCGTGGGTTATAGGAGCCACGGGGCACCAGCAATACTCATGGACTACCCGAAGAACGGTAGACTTAGGGACAGGACGGGTAACCCACTCGTTTCTGGTCATCCCCGAGTGCCCTGCACCTCTACTTGGGAGAGATCTCCTAACCAAAATGGGAGCCCAAATTACCTTCACCCCTGATGGCCCGGAGGTGACTCAGGGCAAGAGAATGACTACCGCTCTGACCATACGCCTAGATGATGAACATAGACTTTTTGAGAAACAGGAAGCGGAGATAAGTCACATAAACGACTGGTTGAACAAGTATCCAGGAGCATGGGCTGAGACGGCAGGAACAGGACTAGCTACAGGAAGGCCGCCCGTAGTCATAGAACTTAAGGCCACCTCTACCCCTGTGGCTGTACGCCAATATCCCATGACGAGGGAGGCCCGGGAAGGAATTAGACCCCACATCCAGCGCCTCCTTCAGCAAGGCATCTTAGTAAAGTGTCAATCGCCGTGGAACACTCCCCTGTTACCTGTCAAGAAGCCCGGCACAGGAGACTACCGCCCGGTACAGGACTTAAGGGAAGTTAACAAGCGGGTACAGGATATCCACCCCACAGTGCCTAACCCTTACAGCTTGCTGAGTTCTCTCCCCCCGGACCATGTGTGGTATACTGTCTTGGATTTAAAGGACGCTTTCTTCTGCCTGCGACTGCACCCCTCCAGCCAGAACATTTTTGCATTCGAGTGGAGGGACCCTGACTCTGGGACTACAGGACAACTGACTTGGACTCGACTACCCCAGGGCTTCAAGAATTCCCCGACCCTCTTCGATGAGGCGCTCCATCAGGACTTAGCCCACTTCCGCGCCAGCCATCCCCAGGTAACACTCCTGCAGTACGTAGACGACTTGCTGCTAGCTGGGGCCACGGAGGAGGAGTGCCGACGGGGCACGGGACTGTTGCTAGAAGAACTCACCCGCCTAGGATATCGAGCCTCCGCCAAGAAGGCCCAGATTTGCCGAAGAGAGGTAACGTACTTGGGGTACACCCTAAAAGGGGGGCAGAGGTGGCTAACGGAGGCCAGGAAACAGACTGTGACCAAGATACCAGCTCCCCGCTCACCCCGCCAGGTGCGAGAATTTTTAGGGACTGCGGGGTTCTGCCGTTTGTGGATCCCCGGATTCACTACCCTGGCCGCTCCCCTCTATCCTCTAACTAGAGAGGGTGCCCCGTTTGAGTGGGGTGATGGCCAACAGCAGGCCTTTGATGACATCAAGAAGGCATTACTGTCTGCCCCGGCCCTGGCGTTACCGGACGTAGCCAAGCCCTTCGTCCTATATGTGGACGAGAGAAAGGGAATAGCCCGAGGGGTGCTAACCCAGCCTCTAGGACCGTGGAAGAGGCCGGTAGCCTACCTCTCTAAGAAGCTGGATCCTGTTGCTAGTGGCTGGCCTGCCTGCCTGAGGTCCGTGGCGGCAGTAGCAGTGTTAGTAAAGGATGCTGACAAATTGACGATGGGGCAGAAGCTAACAGTCATAGCCCCCCATTCCCTGGAGAGCATCATCAGGCAGCCCCCTGACCGGTGGCTGTCCAACGCCCGTATGACTCACTACCAGAGTCTCCTCCTAAACGGAGACAGGGTCTTGTTCGGGCCGCCAGCCGTCCTCAACCCGGCTACCCTGCTACCCGACATGTCCACTCAGGAGAGTGTACTGCACACTTGCCAAGAGATACTGGCAGAAGAAACGGGAACCCGAGAGGACCTCCGAGACCAACCCTTGCCAGACGCTCAGCTGACCTGGTTCACTGATGGAAGCAGCTACATTATAGAAGGTAAAAGGGTGGCCAGGGCGGCGGTGGTGGACGATGAGCAAACTATCTGGGCAAGCAGTCTGCCTGAGGGGACCTCGGCTCAGAAGGCCGAGTTAGTAGCTCTGACTCAGGCCCTACAGTTGGCCGAAGGGAAGAAGATTAATATCTATACTGATAGCAGGTACGCCTTTGCCACCGCCCATGTCCATGGTGCTATCTACCGGCAGCGGGGGCTACTAACCTCGGCCAGGAAAGAAATCAAAAATAAAGAGGAAATTCTAAGCCTACTAGAGGCCATTCACCTTCCTAAGAAAGTGGCAATCATTCATTGTCCTGGACACCAGAAAGGAGGGTCCAGAGTTGCCGGAGGGAATCAAAGGGCTGATAGAGAAGCCAAGCAGGCGGCTCGGGGACTTAACATCCTATCCTTGACCGGGGAAAGACCAAGGCCTCACTCTGAGAACGGGATATACCCCACTATTAGAAACTTTGAGTATTCAGAATCGGACCTTGAGAGGATGGATAGATTAGGGTTCCACCTGGAGACCCCGGAGGGGACCCGAGAAACCTCAGAAGGAAAAAGAATCCTTCCGGAAAAACAGGCTGTTATTTTCCTCAGACACCTACATAGGTTAACTCATCTGGGCCCAAAGCATTTAAGAACTATTGCCCAGTCTTCACCGTATTATATCATGAAACTAGGAGAGCTCGCCGATACGACTGTAAAGGAATGCAGGCCCTGCCAGATGGTGAATGCCCAGCCCAGCAAGCTATCTCAAGGCAAACGGCTCCGAGGAGACCGCCCTGGGAATTACTGGGAGGTGGACTTTACTGAGGTGAAACCAGCCAGGTATGGGTACAGGTACTTATTGGTATTCATAGATACATTTTCAGGCTGGGTCGAAGCATTCCCCACCAAGAAGGAAACTGCTCAGATGGTGGCCAAGAAAATACTGGAAGACATCTTTCCGAGATTTGGGGTGCCTAAGGTAATCGGGTCGGACAACGGCCCCGCGTTTGTTGCCCAGGTAAGTCAGGGACTGGCCAAAATCCTGGGGCTTGATTGGAAATTACATTGTGCTTATAGGCCCCAAAGCTCAGGGCAAGTAGAAAGAATGAATAGAACTTTAAAAGAGGTCATGACTAAATTATCCGTAGAGACTGGCATAACAGACTGGACAGTCCTCCTTCCCTTTGCCTTATTCTGGGTCCGCAATACTCCCGGCCCCCTCAAATTAACACCTTTTGAAATTCTTTATGGAACCCATCCCCCACTCATTGCCATGCAGCTCCTTCCCTCCCGAGAGTCTCACCCCTCTCATTCTCTGCACACCAGATTAAAAGCCCTTGAGACTGTGCAGAGAGAAGTGTGGAATCGGCTGGCCGAGGCTTACAAGCCGGGAGACCTACAAGTGCCTCATCAGTTCCAGGTCGGAGACTCGGTGTATATTCGGCGCCATCGTACGGCCAGCTTGGAACCAAGGTGGAGAGGACCGTACATAGTGCTGCTCACAACTCCCACTGCAGTAAAAGTCGATGGCGTCGCCGCCTGGATCCACGCCTCACATGTCAAGCCCGCGCCACAACCGGACCCCGCGTGGAAAGTGGAAAAAATGGACAACCCCCTCAAGCTCCGTATCCACCGTGTTCCTGCTCCTGTTGATGCACTTCCCGCCGATGAGTAGCCCTAACCCCCATGCCCCTCACCGACTAACCTGGCAGGTCCTCTCCCAGACTGGAGATGTAATATGGAGCACCACCAAGGAGAACCCCCTATGGGCCTGGTGGCCGTCCTTAACCCCAGACATTTGCGCCTTAGTAGCTGGATTAGATGAGTGGGATATCCCCAGTATAACCTATGAGGAGGTTCCATCAGACTCTGATCGCTACTTGACAAAGCGCTCACTTACCCAAGGCTCCACATCCCGAGGCCAGTATATTGCAGACGCCCCTGGCTGTAGTAACTCGCCTGCCCAACGCCGGATGCGGCTAACACAGTTTTACGTCTGT